CTCATCAAGCCCTCTCTGGCTTGTAACTTGCTAAATTTGAGTTCTCAGAGTTTATATATGAGATTAAAAACTTCTTAGGATGGGCCCAAAACATTTGGAACTTACTTACAAAGGTACTCTAAGGTTTCTAATTTTAATGGGATATAAAACTACAACTGAAATATATTAAAAATGAACATGTAATATTTTATGTGAACTATTTCTTATGGGACCCAGACAATATTATGAACAGAAATAATTTGTTTCATGTCAACTTTAAGGTAACTTTTAAAATCTCTAGTAATTCTTGATAATATTTAGATTCTACTTTTAGATATTTTTAATTGGCTTTTAAAAAGTGAGTATAGTAAAATACTAAGATAATAAATATTTCTGTTTAGTTAAAAAATCCCATAATAATATACGGTAATTAGGGGCTGGGTTGTGGCTCAGTGGTAGAGAGCTTGCCTAGCATGTGTGAGGTACTGGGTTCGATTCTCAGCACCACATTAAAAAATAAAATAAAGTTCCCAAAATGTAGGCTCTCTGTTCACCTCATTGATTGTTTCTTTTGCTGAGAAGAAGCTTTTTAGTTTGAGTCCATCTCATTTATTAATTCTTGATTTTATTTCTTGCACTTTAGGAGTCTTGTTAAGGAAGTCGGGGCCTAATCCAATATGATGAAGATTTGGGCCTACTTTTTCTTCCATAAGGTACAGGGTCTCTGGACTAATTCCTAGGTCCTTGATCTACTTTAAGTTGAGTTTTGTGCATGATGAGAGATAGGGGTTTATTTTCATTTTGCTGCATATGGATTTCCAGTTCTCCCAGCACCATTTGTTGAAGAGGCTATCTTTTCTCCGTTGTATGTTTTTGACACCTTTGTCTGGTATGAGGTAACTGTATTTATGTGTTTGTCTCTGTGTCTTCTATTCTGTACCACTGGTCTACATGTCACACACACATCAGAACATTAATCTCCAGGATATATAAAGAACTCAAAAACCTTAACAAAAACAAAACAAAACAAAAAAAACAATTCAATCAATAAATGGGCTAAGGAGCTGAATAGACACTTCTCAGAAAATATACTAGATCTACAAATATATGAAAAAATGTTCAACATCTCAAGTAATTAGAGAAATGCAAATCAAAACTCTCTAAGATATCATCTCATGCCAGTCAGAATGACAGTTATCAAGAATACAGACAATAATAAATGTTGGCGAGGATGTGGGGGAAAAGGAACACATACTGCAAGTTGAGTGCAACTAATCTGGAAAGCAGTATGGAGATTTCTTAGAAAACATGGAATGGAATCATCATTTGACCCAGCTATCCTACTCCTCAGTCTATACCCCAAAGGACTTAAAAATCAGCATACTATAGTAATGCAGTCACATCAATGTTCATAGCAGCTTAATTTACAATAGTTAAACTGTGGAAGCAAACTACATGCCCTTCACTAGATGAATGGATAAAGAAACTGTGGTATATATACATAATGAAATATTACTCAGCATTAAAAGAGAATAAAATCATGGCATTTTCAGGTAAATGGATGGAGATGGAGAATATTATGCTAAGTGAAGTAAACTAATCCCCCAAAAACAAAGGCCGAATGTTCTCTTTGATAAGTGGATGCTGATCCATAAGGGGGAGGGAGGAGGCATGTGAAAAAACTGAGGAACATTGATTAGGCAAAGGGAAGGTATGGTAGAGAGGGTGCATGGGGGCAGGAAAGATGGTGGAATAAGATGGACATCATTGCCCTAGGTATGTGTGTGACTGCACATATGGTGTGATGCTACATCGTGTACAACCAGAGATATGAAAAGTTGTGCTGCAATTATGTACAATGAATCAAAATGCATTCTGCTGTCATATATACCTAATGAATAATTTAATTAAATAAATTAATAAAATAAAGATATTGTGTCCACCTATAATTAAAAAAAGAACATATAGGAATCATATATTAATAAGTATTTCTATATACTTAAAAATCATTATATATGAAAGTCTGAGATGGTGCTTGGTTTTTCTTTAGAACGAAGCTAGAATTTTGTTTTTCTTTTCAGGCATTTGGGTTCCAGTGAAATTGACTTGAAAGTAATGGGGACTCACATATACAGGAACCAATCCCAGATGTTTGGCCAGAGGGTAATAAAGAGAAATACGTGTTTTAACAGGGCAATATATAGCATAGAACATTAAAGTCCATTACAGGGAGAAAATAAAAAGGAAAGAATTGAATCAGAAATATTAGTATGACCTAGGGAAATTTTCTTTTACTCTGTCATGAAAGATAGTTCTACTCAAATGCTTATGTGAAATAATAAAATGTACATCCCTAGCATCCTAGCTTGGTATATAATATTATTTTTCCACTTCTGAAATGATTTTAATTCCTAAATCCCTCAGGGATGCATATCTACTTTATCCTCTGACTGGGATGTGCCCACAGGCTCTTTCATTTTAGTTATGACTATGGTCAAGCCCTTTTGATGTTAAATTTATGAACAAATCTGTTTTCCTTGAGGATTAAATGGGATACATACACACATACACACACACACATGTACATATATATAGTATATAAAAATCAAAATATATATAAAATATATATTTTATACACAAATACATATACATATGGATATATTTTTTAAAGAAAGGTATTCCAGAGTATCAGTGTATCCTTTGTAGATTCTAGTTTCTTGGATTCTCAGATATTGTTAGAATCTGTTTTCCTTAGTGAATGTTTTAAAAATGAAACCAAATTTCATCGCATTAGAATCATCTTACATTTTTCAGGAAGAACAAGGGACAAAATTGGGTAAGTCAGAGAGAGAAAATGGCTATGCTTCAAGCAAAAGCAGCTTTTTCACCTCCAGTAAATCCCACTGAGACCTCTTTGGCACGATGAAACAGATTTCATGATTTAGACCCAACTGTCATCTTTATTCAAAGATATATCCATTAGGAAAATATTTTAATTCTTCCACATGAGGATATATTTTTTGTGGGGGGGGGGGGCGGCAAATGAGTTACCTCTTTTGAAAAAAGAATAAAGGGAATAACAATAAACTAATTTGTAAGTACGAGAAATTTGAAATAGCAAGAAATATGTAATGAAGAATCAGAAAAAGATTGTGAATATCAGAAAAATAAAACAACAGGAAACACCAAGAATAAAAGAAATGGGGGAAAGAAAAGGGGCAGGATGATGAACTGAAATTGAATTTAATGCATGTATGAATTTATCAGGATGAATCCAACTATTATGTATAACTAATAAAATACTTTTAAAATTTTAAAAAATGGGAATGGGTTGAATCTAATGCGGGCTTTAGAAATATAACTAAACTAAAGTCATTTTCAGTTCTCTTTCAATTAGTGCTATCAAGGAGTTCTTTTCAAAGAGTTCTACCAAGTGTCAAATGGCCTTCAGAGGAAGGCAAGGAGAAGACAGGCTCAGAGCCTCCTGTCCCCTACATCAGAGGGCGCTCCTTTTAACCATTTGATTTACAGAGTTTGATTTCAGATTCACATGAGAATCAGGTTAATTTTAAAAGCTTTGGCTTCATTTTTTCTTAAGATTGAAAATGACTATTATAGAGAATAAACTCATTATCTTATTATATGACACTCCTCCCAAAGTTTACCTTTATCTTGAATTCTAAAATTACAGATTATTTTTTACTTTTCTTCCACTTATATAACTGAAATAACACTGTGAACTATACCCTGTTTGGCTTCTTTCTCTCAATCTGATTTATAAGATTTAACCATTCTATTGTGCTCATTAATCATTAGTTCATTTTTATGATTGAATATAATATATGCATATACCACAATTTATCCTTTCTACAATTGACAGATATTTGGACTTCCTCCATTTTGATCATTATAAATAAAGCTTCTATGAATGTAAAAAAAAAAGAATAAAAGACACTATGAAGAAAAAGTCAGAGTTAAAGCAGAAAATTAGTGCTATAAGAATTTTTTAAAATTATAAAGTACTTTAAAGACAAAGTCCTTAAGGGTGGATGAAGAACTTCCCAGAATAATCATCAGGATCTGAATAATAAACTAAAATAGTCCTTTTGATACATTGTAAAGTATGCAATTTTAATTATGTGATTTTTCTAGCTAATTTCTGCTTCAAAAACAGAAAGTACTTCTGCTTACAAGGTGGCAGAGACAAGAACTTTTCTAAACCTCTCATATGCACGTTGTCATCAAAATTTAAATTACCAGAAACATGCCTTTTAGTTAAATTACAATTAGCCCTCAGACAGATCTATTTACTGAGAACCCACTATGTGCCAAACTCTGTTGGCATATACTAAACAACAGTTTGCGTTTGTAAAGCACTTTTTCCTTTTCAGGTTCTCACAAATAACATTTTAAAACAAACTGTATTTGTTTTTCTGCATTAACTGCACATGCTGAATACATCTATTATTATTAATTGTTCTTACTCAGGAGAATCTTATTTTTAAAATCTGCAAAATATATCCAGTTGTATTTGCATATAACATATATTTTTCATCAGTTATGTATGGAAGTCAATCAACCACTATAAATACAAACAGATTGTCTAACAAAATAAAACAACAGTTTTGGGAGAATGGAAATGGCACACTTGTCAGAAGATGTCCACAAATAATTAATTACTTTAGCACATTAAAGATATTCTCTTAGTATCAGAGCCTCTTCTAAGAGGGTACTCATTACTTCCTAACCATCTGTCATCACTCCTCCCCAAAAAACTAATTAGGCTTTCATCCAATCACACAATATAAATGATGCAAATATGAATGGTCAAAGCACAGTTTAAAGAAGTTAATAAAACATTTTGTTTAAAAATCATGGACTGCAGAACTAGTCTTCATAATAATTAAAATGCTTATTTTTCCCATTTTTAAATTATTAGATATTGAACTTGGAAAATTAAAATATAATTTAAAAACCAAAACCACACACACACACACACACACACACACACAAATACTTACAGGTAGTAGAGTTTTCCTGCAGCTGGGAGTTCCCTTTTCCGGTAATCTATCCCAGAATCTAGCTGAACTGTATTACAGTATTCCTGCAATCCAAAAACAGAAAAAAAATTTTTAAATAAGTAGTGGCTCAGAATTATAAGCTTTCTGCTAAACTATATATATTCTTAATTTTTGAAATGTTTCAATGAAATAATGAGCTTAGGACAAAACAATAAAATTCATGTAAAATTCACAAAATTAAAGTTGCAATATTAAACATATATAAAGCCAGTAAAATAATAGTTAAAAAATCAAGATTTGCACTATGTTTTACTGAAACTTTGCTAAAAATAGCACTGTCAGCAAATTTCCCAAATAACTACATTAAGGTGAAAGGAAATATACCCTAATATCCATTAATCTGAAATGAAAAGCTGGAGAAAGTATAACTTGTGACTCTTAAGCACAACAAATTTGAAAAATGCAGTTTTTCATTAATAATAGCGGTGAAGTTGTTAAAACATAATTTTTCCTCATAAATTTTCATAAAGCAATTTTCATTTTTAATCCAAACTAAAAAATCAGCCTATAAATTTTTTCTTGATTTGTCCAAAAAACCTTGGGTCACCACTCTTCTGGAATAAATGTGTGTGTGTGTGTATCTACACAGCCCCCAAATCCAACTGATCAAGGTATGACAGCAAAAGTTCGTTGGTTGTTATGAGTTTTGGTGTATGTGTGTGTGTATTTATGTGCACTTATGCACCTTGGAAGATGGAAAACAAAGGATTAATAAAGAAAGGACATTAGTGACACAGGATGACTCAGGCTGAAAGGAAGCATCTGCAGTAGGAAAGGACACTGAAAACTTTGATGGAGCAAAGAAAACTAAAGGACAAGGGCGGCAGCAGCTGTTTAGGAGTGTAATTTTGGGGTCCAAGATAATTGTGTCAAATAGTAGTTTCCAAAGACAGATGGAGATAGCAACCCTCCACCCTAGCCTATCCTTCTTACAATGGGATATTGATATTCCAATCAAAATGAAGTGGGCTCCATGCTCTGCCCTTGAATCTTACGGCTAAAGATTGGTGTAAATGATGCTATGCAACAATAACTGATGTGACATTTGAAGCAGCTTTTTACTTGTTGGCTGGAATACTTCTGGACTCCTGAAGTGCCAGCATCTAACTCCCTAGAGGCCCCTAAACCATGAGAAGCTTAAGTTTCCATACAGAGAAAGGTCGTGGAGAGGGCCTGAGATTACATAAAGACAAAGGTGTCGATCAGTCAGTCCCCAGCTATTTAGGCTACAGTGACTATTGTACTGAGAGAACTGCCAGCTGAGCCCTCCCCAATTCCCTGACCTATAGAAACCAAGATAGACAATAAGTAATACTGTTTTAAGCCTCTAAATGTTGCAGGAATTTATTTATTTATTTTATTTGTTTGTTTTGAGTGCCAGGGATTCAACTCAGGGGTAGTCAACCACTGAGCCACATCTGTAGCCCTATTTTGTATTTTATTTAGAGACAGGGTCTCACTGAGTTGCTTAGTGCCTCGCCATTGCTGAGGCTGGCTTTGAACTCATAATCCTCCTGCCTCAGCCTCCCAAGCTGCTAGTAATACAGGCATGCACCACCACACCCTGTACAGGTATTTATTATGCAACAATAGATCATCAGACTAGTAACATGGGGGCACACTTGAGAAGTAGCAACATTCTTCCTCCCTGAAATTCTCTCCTGTGTTGCACTGCTATGTCAGGCCTCTTTATCACCAGCACTCCAGAGAGAAGACTGCACAGAGTGACAATGAAAAATTATTTCCTCTCCTCTCATGCTACAGCTGCTGAGGGACTCTGGGAACTGAAAGAAGGAGACCAACCATCCCCTTTGGACTGAGGAGTTTCCCCAAGATGGAGGATGTTTCAGGACTCAGAACTTACAGTACTAACATTAGGAAGTCCTGGGCAATCTGGGCCAGTTGGTCACCATAAGAATGAAGACCCAGGAAACTGGGCTGGAAGGCATAAAGTATATATTGCATTTTGATATATCCATTTGAATTTCCTTATTATAAAAAAATTCCCCAAGAAGCCAGTCCTCTAAGGAAGCCTACAAAGTTAAGCTTTTCTACCATACATTTGAAGAACAACCCCTAAACTTACCAAATGCAAGGCTCCTTATACTGCTTGGCCTGAGCAGCCAGACACCCCTGATTCATTGTTCCAAGTTGTTCAACCCTCCCTCCTCGCTGGCCTTACTTTAAGTACCTATAGAGGTCGGTTGAGCTCTATAACCCATCCCACCAGAAAGGAATACAGCATTCCAAATACTTGCATTCCACCCTCCTCTTACTTCATATGACCTGTGTTAAAAAAAAGTTATTGTCAGATCTCCTTTTCAACTTTGATCAACCTGAGGAAAGATATGCCTTCCCTCTCCTATGATGGGGGCTCAATGAGCCAGCCCCCCCAAAAGAAGAAGAAGAAGAAGAAGAAGTAGTAGTAGTAGTAGTAGTACTTGTTTAGGAAGTAAGTCATACTCTTAGGGAAATCTGCCCCATGTGGTAGGTAAGGGCCAGTTATTCACATGCTACCCTATATTATAGACAAAACAGTTCAAAGAACATCAATGTAGTCATACAAATGTACTTGCCCAAGTTCTCTATTTCTTTTAAACCAAAATTTATCTTATATGACTCCACATTCCTAATTTAGTAAAAAAGAAATTTCCTATTTTAAAAAAAGGCTAATGGAAGTTATACAAGCTTCAATTTCTTTTTCTGCGTAACTAACTTCTGGGACATGAGTGATTAAGCCCTAACAAATGATTGCATTTGTACATTCACTAATCACCACTGAGGAATACCTAATCAGCAGCAAAAGAACTATAACCAAAGCCCTTAGATGTTAGCTCTTAATTGTCTGAAAAATACTAACACCCAGTTTATCTTTTTAAAGAAAAATAAATCTCAGATATTCAGAGTTTATTCACAGCCTAGATGCATCAATACATTTGCAGAAGAGTAGAAGAGGGTGAAAGCTAGCCTATTTCCAAGTAGAGAATAAATCTAATGGGTCTGATCTCTAAGTAATTTCCTAGTATATTTACAAAACCTGTGACCCCCCATACCACTATCCAATTCTAATGTGTGACACCATAACACTAATCAGCCATGAAATGAATTTATTTTAAAATAGTTTGTACATGCATACAAAGGACAAATACAAATATATATTCTGGATATGCAATTAGGAAATTTGGGGAATACAAGGAAAGAAGTTGACCCACCCTTGTGAGCCTTTGACTTTGGAAAGAAAATGTGTGACTAAAAGAAATGCATTACAGCAACTTATACTATCCTCAAATCTACTGTCTGTGTTGTTAGCAATCCTGAATAATATTACTAAGAAAAACAAAAGCCACCTCACACAATAACTTTATATAGCTTCTACTCCATTTCCAGTTTGAAGAATAATAAACATTGTGAAGAAAATCCTTTAAAGTCACAACATATTAACCTCTTAAGCACAGACTGTAAAGAGCTCTATTTCTCATGTAGGTATTAGTGGTTCATTCATGTCCACCTTGCTACACTCAGTTTAAGCAAGAATATCCCCCATCCTCATCTAATCAAGTACTTCATTCCTCACCTCTGCTCTCTCAGTCCTTGGTCTATCTTTAGCAAGAATCCTGTCCAACTGATTTAGCAAGAATCTTTATAGCCTTGTTGTCTCATCTTAAGAATTTTCCATTCACTGACACCCATACTCTGCTAATGGCTATAAAATAACCTATATATTGTTAAATGTGAAATTGAGCTCATTTCTCTAGCCTACTTCAAAAACCATGATTCTTATTGTAGTAATCTTCAATAAAGGCTTCCCTAGTTCTTAAATAAGTATTAAAATATTTTTTCTTAAATAATTCCTGAAGCACTGATTCAGTGGGTCCTTACCTCATAGACCTGTTTATCTATCAACTCCGTTGGCATAGCCTGAGTTTGCCCCTATGACAATTCCATCTCTCTGTTAACTCTGGGTACTCAGACTTTTGAATACTTTCAAAATTAAGCTTGTCATTCACTTTTTTTTTACATGTCCTATTCAAAGCTTGATCATTCACTTTTATTCCTTCATCTAGTTTAAAACAAAAACCATTTAATAATTGTTGTTGATGGGGTTTTTTGTTTGTTTGTTTTTCAAGGGCCAAGGACTAAACTCAGGGCCTTACTCATACTAGGCAAGTGCTTTGTCACTGAGCTAAATCCCCAAGCCCCCATTTAATAATATTTCCTAAACTCCCTTGTGGATCTCTACAATTCCCTTTTTCAAACCTATACCTTCCTCTTACTAGCATCTTCAACTAGTACTTGCCCAGAGCAAAAGGCCCATCAAGTTATTAGTGTCCTCTCTGCCCACTCCAGAAAAGATCTCCCTTTCTGATGGTTTCCCTCTCTGGGCAACTGTTTTCTCCTATTCATGTTCAGCATATAGAACAGTTTAGTTTTAGCTTGAGAAGAGTACACCCCATCATTTCATCATGACTTGTGAAAAAGAAAGTTTTAGATCACAACCAAAGCAAAAGAATAACATCAGTATTTTGAAGATAGACAAGTGAGCAGTCACTATTTGTTAAGATGTTTCCTCTAATGTATGCTATAGTTAGAAAATATGGGCTGATAGATCCAAGCCCTGGCATCTAAGGGTAAGATCACAAATATCCTCATTTCTGAATGAAGCAGGGGAAAAAAAAAGTATCCAAATGAGATAAAAGTTTAGAAATATATAGAGAAAACTGAGTTCCTAAAGGAGAAAATGTCCCTTTTGGAATGTAGGTCCCATGGCTTGTGAACAACTTGTGGGCTGGACAAAGGAGCCTAAGAGATGGAAAGAGACAAAAAAGGTAAGAACATATGAAGAGCCAATAAATTACTCTGGAACTTTCCAGTTCCCTATAAATTTTCTGGAATGTAGCAAAGCAGGAACAAGACCTCAATAGAAATAGACCATCAACTGCATGAAGCTAGAGGCCAACATCTGACTGGACCATGACCCTCTGGCCTGACCATCTGATCAACCACCAGACTTACTATACAACTG